CAGGTCGCGAGGGCTCCCGGCGTCGGGGTTCGGCCGTGCACGTTTGCGTGGGTTTCAGGCTCCTTAGGCATAACCCTGGACTCTCCTCCTCCTGCCTCCTGTAGCTGTTGAGGCTGGGAGAGAAAACGGAGGCCACCTCGAGGGGTGTCTTATTTTTAAAATTTTTTTGTTACCTATTATTGAACCCACGGGCCCTTAGCCACTGAGCCACATCCCCAGCCCTTTTTGGATCATTATCTCGCTGCGTTGCTCAGGGCCTCGCTCAGTTGCTGAGGCTGGCCTCCAACTCGCGATCCTCCTGCCTCAGCCTCCCGAGCTGCTGGGATGACAGGCGTGCACCACAGCGCCGGGGTTGCTGGCTCTTTGGTTCCAGGAACATTACAATGTGTCAACATTGCAAGTGCACAGAGTGCTGGTGCCAAGAGGCTTGGTTACTGTAATATTCCTGAATTTTTATTAGGTGAGATTTTTACTAGTCTGTAATTTACTAGCGACTTTGCGCCAAGCGGATCTCAGGTTTCTGGGTGTCTCTAAGTTGATCGGTGGTGGACTGAGACCCGGATGACCTCCTCTACAAAAATAACCTTGTTGGATAAGTGTTTACCTATATGTGCACAGAGAAGAATATTTATTTCATACTTGCAAGCATGTTCATAGCCATAGAAGTATGTATGTATGTAAAACTGAGTTATTTAAATAAAAATAGATACATTAAAAAAATAAACACAGGCTGGGCCCCGTGGTACCCATATTTCCAACCCTTTGGGAGGCTGAGGCAGGAGGCTCGCAAATTGGAGGCCAGCCTCAGCAACTTAGCAAGGCCCTAAAGCAACTCAGCGAGACCCTGTCTCTTATATTTTTTTTCTTCTCTTTTTCTAGGCTCGAAATGCAGAAAAGGCCATGTAAGTATTAATTCTTTTTTTATTATTATTTTTAAAGAAGTTTTTTTTTTTTGTCAGTGTACCTTTATTTATTTAGGCCGCTGGGAATCAAAGCCAGTACCTTACACATGCTAGGCTCCCTCTCCAAGTAACTACCACTCAGATACAACTCCAGCCGTCAATCCATTTTCAGCTGAAAAATTGTCTCCTTCTAGTAAATTCTGGCAGCTTCCAGAATCTACACTGGCTGAATATTTGTTCACCTCTGGATAGGGCGAGATTGACCACTAGGACACCCTGAGATGTCACTCTGTTAACATCTGGATGTCGTTTATCACAGTGGTCTGTGAACTAGAGTCTCCCCCAGTCCTTCTGTGCAGTGGAAGTCAAATAGATAGCTAGGCACGGTGATGCAGGCTTGTGATCCCAGTGGCTCAGGAGGCTGAGGCAGGAGGATCGCAAGGTGGAGGCCAGCCGCAGCCACTTAGTGAGGCCCTAAGCAACTCAGGGAGACCCCAGCCAGTGTCTTGGTTGGGAGGAGATCCGGGAGCAGGACCTAATGCAGTGTTTTTTTTTTAATCCTTCCTAGGACGGCCTTAGCCCGATTTCGCCAAGCTCAATTGGAAGAAGGAAAAGTGAAGGTTGGTATCAATCTTCCTCATTTTCTAGTAAACATACCTCAAGACCCGATGCAGGGAAACTCCTTCCTGGGCGGACTTTGAACTCCAGATCTTCCTGCCTGCACTTGGCTGATGCGCGAAAAAGAGTCTGTACGCTTGAGCAGGGTGCCCTGGCCCCATATGTGTAATCTTGGCGATTTGGGAGGCTGAGGCAGGAGGATCGCAAGTTTCGAGGCCAGCCTCTGCAACTGAGAGAGAGAGAAAGAGAGAGAGCCCATCTCAAAATAAATATATAAATAAAATAAAAAATATGTTTTGAGACATCCTGAAAAGTCTGGGGATGAAGTTCAGTGGTAAAGTTCTCCTGGATTCTACCCCTCATACTGCAAAAATAAATAAGTAAATAAAATAAATCTGTGTCCTTCAATTCCAGATGTTCCCCACTCTACCTGGGACAGCGTGATCATCTGTCTCCTTGATTTTCCATTTTCTCCAGTGAATTGCCACCCGCCCTCCCCTTATGTCAGCACCCACACATCAAAGCGGACATTTGGCCTTTGGTTTTGGGGGGACTGGCTTATTTCACTTAGCGGGATAGTCTCCAGCTCCATCCATTTACCTGCAAATACTATAATTTTATTTTTTCTTTATTAGGTGTCACATGTTAAGATGGCGTAACTGCCACAGGATGGATGCTTTATTTAGCCATCTCTCTTACCCTGGACATCTGTTGGGGTGTTTGACTGTGCTAGATACATTGAATTGAATATTTTTTTCTCTATTTATTTATTTTTTGGATAACCAGGGATTGAACCCTGGGGTGCCCAACCCCTGAGCCCCGTCCCCAGCCCTTTTTCTATTTTATTTAGAGACAGGGTCTCTCTTGAGTTGCTCAGGGCCTCGCTAAGTGGTCGAGGCTGGCCTCCACCTTGCGATCCTCCTGCCTCGGCCTCCCGAGCCACTGGGGCGACAGGCGTGGGCCACCACACCTTGCTTTGATATTTGGTTTCTGAGAAGTGATTGCAGGGTGAGGTTTGAAGCTGGATGAGACTCTTCTTCTGGGACTTGACACTTCCCTGTGTGTTTCCACCATCAGACATTCTAGGCTGTAGCCGGGAATCCGCTGTGAAGGCTGCCTGAGTTTGTGACAAGTGGCCACACGTGTTATTTTGTTTCTCCACAGGAAAGAAGACCCTTCCTTGCTTCAGAATGTACAGAGCTGCCCAAAGCTGAGAAATGGAGGCGACAGGTACTTTCTGGGTGACTCTGCTATCAGTCTCTGATGGGGCGGGGCCAGGCCAGTGGGCGGGGCCAGACTGGTGGTGGGATAGACCAGTGGGCGGGGCCAGACTGGTGGTGGGCGGGGCCAGGCTGGTGGTGGTATAGGCCAGTGGGTGGAGCCAGGCTGATGGGTGGGGCCAGACTGGTATGGGATAGACTGTGGGCGGGGCCAGGATGCTGGTGGGATAGGCTGGTGGGCGGGGCCATGTCTGTGGGCGGGGCCAGGTCCTGGCTGTGTCCTGTGAACCTAGCACAGTGCCTGGGACTCAGCCATCAGTGCTGCTTGGTGGGAAGATAGATGGACACATACAGATACATGCGTGCATAGGACAGAGGGTAGCAGGATGATTTTAAGTATTTTTCATTTTTATTTTTTTAGTTGTAGATGGACATAATATCTTTATTTATTTTTAAGTGGCCACAACACCTTTATTTTCTTTATTTATTTTAATATGGTGCTGAGGATCGAATCCAGGGCCTCCCTAATGCATGCGAGGCAAGTGCTCTGCCACTCAGCCCCAGCCCCCTGATCTTCTAAGTATTTTTAATCAGTAATTTTGAATTACAGTTTTCCAGTGTTTTTTGATGTATTCAAACCTCATGAATGCACTACTTTATTTGTTCTTTTTTTTTTTCCTCCACAGATCATTGGAGAGATCTCCAAAAAAGTAGCTCAGATTCAGAATGGTAAGCGACCTTGTCATTTATTTTCTTTTATTTTTTGGTGTCAGGAATTGAAATCAGGGACGCTTAACCCCTGAGCCCCGTCCTCAGCCCTTTTTTCTATTTTATTTAGAGACAGGGTCTCGCTGAGTTGCTCAGGGCCTCGCTAAGTGGCTGAGACTGGCCTCCAACTTGCGATCCTCCTGCCTCAGCCTCCTGAGCTCTTGAGATTACTGGTGTTTGCCACCGAGCCCAGCTAAAAGCTTCTTATTTTAATAATTGTATAAATGAAACTGCAGGTTTTTTGGTTATAGGATGTCTTGGGTTGCTATTCAGAATAAAGTTTTTTTTTTTTTTTTAAGGATTTTTGTTTTCTCTTACATTAGTGGGAACTCATCTGGGCATGGTGGCACACACCTAATCCCAGCGGCTCAGGAGGCTGAGGCAGGAGGATTGTGAGTTCCAAGCCAGCCTCAGCCACAGCGAGGCCCTAAGCCACTCAGGGAGACCCTGTCTCTAAATAAAATACAAAGTAGGGCTGGGGAGGGGGCTCAGGGGTTCAGGCCCCTGGGTTCAATCCTGGTCCCCCCCCAAAAAAAAAATTAGTGGGAGCCCTTGATAACCGTAGCCCTTCGTTCGCATGGGTGGCTTGTCCCTGTGCACCGTTGGGGCTCTGCACCTGCAGGGTGCGGCCATAGTGCGGGGCGGGTGTGCAGTGCCCGTGTTGGGGCGCTGTGGTCTTTTCTGAGGGGTGGCGTTTGGGAGAACCGTATTGACAGGTGCGTTCCTCCAGCTGGTTTAGGTGAATTCCGAATTCGCGACCTGAATGACGAGATCAACAAGCTGCTGAGGGAGAAGGGACACTGGGAGGTCCGCATCAAGGAGCTGGGCGGCCCTGATTATGGAGTAAGCGCACCGCAGCCCCCAGGGGCGGGGCCGTGCTGGTGGGCGGGGCTTGTGGTGGGTGGGCCTGTGCTGATGGGCGGGGCTGTGAAGATGGGCGGGGCCGTGATGGTAGGTGGGTCCAGGCTGGTGGGTGTGTCCAGGCTGGTGGGAAGGCAGGTTGGTGGGCGGGGCCAGGCTGAGGGTGGGGCCAGGCTTGTGGGCGGGGCTTGGGCACTGGGTGGGGCCGGATAGGTGATGGGATAGGCCGGTGGGCGGGGCCAGGCCGGTGGGCGGGGCCAGGCCGGTGGGCGGGGCCAGGCGGGGCAGGTGGCCTCGCAGTTCTGCCAGCCCCTTCTCCTGTTCTATCACCCAGGAGGGCTTTGGTCACCATCATTACCCAGATTTATCTCCCTCTCAACTGGGGGTTGAACCAAGGGGTGTTTATTAACCCGTGAGCCCTGTCCCCAGCCTTTTGAATACTCTTTATTTAGAGACAGGGTCTCACTGAGTGGCTTAGAGCCTCACTGAGATGCTGAGGCTGGCCTCCACCTTGTGAGCCTCCTGTCTCAGCCTCCAAAGCTGCTGGGATGACAGGTGTGCGCCACAGCTCTGGACAAATATATCTACACATTTTTATTTACTTATTTATTTATATTTAAATATCTATTTCATTTTTATGTGGTGCTGAGGATCGAACCCAGAGCCTCCCATGTGCTAGGTGAGCGCTCTACCACTCAGCCACAAACCCAGCCCCTATTTTTTTATATTTTGAGCCAGAGTGTTGCTAAGTTACCCACACTGGTTTTCAACTTGAACTTCTCAGCCTCCTGAGTTGCTAGGATTATGAGTGTATGCCACTGTATTTAGCCTTATTATTATTTTTTTAAGAAATTATCATTACCCTTTTTTTTTTAACGTTTACTTTTTAGCTGTCGGTGGGCCCAATATCTTTATTTTATTTATTTTTACGTGGTGCTGAGGATCAAACCCAGGGCCTCAGATGTGCCAGGCGAGCGCTCTACCCCAGCCCCATGGGTATCTTAAAATATATTTATAGACATGGAAATAGTAAGTGTATAAATCAGGTCTATATATTCTTCTTCCCTTCCTGTAAGAAAGTCGGCCCTAAAATGCTGGATCATGAAGGGAAAGAAGTCCCAGGAAACCGAGGTTACAAGTACTTTGGAGCAGCAAAAGATCTGCCTGGAGTTAGAGAGCTGTTTGAAAAAGAACGTAAGTAACTCGTGTTTGTAAAATTTTTAGCCTCCAGATGTTGTCGTTCATAACAGTAGATAAGGTGTATGGTCTCGCTGTTTTTTGGTATTAGGAATTGAACCCAGGGGCACTGAGCTCCATCCCCAGCCCTTTTTGTATTTTATCTAGAGACAGGGTCTCATTCAGTTATTTAGGGCCTCGCTAAATTTTTGAGGCTGGCCTCCCACCTTCAATCCTCCTGTCTCAGCCTCCCTAGCTGCTGGGATGCAGGCATGCCCCACCACACCTGGCTCTATGCTATATGTGCTATATGTAAGGTGATCTTCCGTATTATGTGTTAGCTTGCACCACATCCCCGTTGCATAGGAATTTATTTTTCCCGATTTCAAATGAGAAAATATGAACATTAATATATAATATATATATAATAGGCTGAAATCCCAGGTCTAGGGCACAAAATTGGGGCTGCAAAGCGAGCCCAGGATTGGCTGGTGCGGAATTGTACCCTCTCTGTACAGGCTCGATCCTGCATCTGGATGTGGGGTTCCCCAAAGTGATAGATAGAGGCAGGTTCTGAAGTTATTGAGTCAGGTTCACGTCGCAGTTGAAAAAAATCATAACTCACAAACAAATAAAAACCTTGTGCCAAACCCTAACTCGTATAAATGGAAGAAAGAACTGTAATTTGAAAATGCTGGCCTGGAGCTGAAGTGTATTTTAATTTTGCTTCTGAGAAAAGTCGTCTAAATAAACACTTTGTTCCCAAAAAAAAAAAAAAAAAAATGGGAGAAGCAGAAAAGAATGGGACCAGTGTTCTCTGTGCTGTTGACATTGTCCTGTGTGGTTTCCTAGTTGTTTTATTCTATCTTTTTTAAAAAATATAATTCTATTTATTAAAATTGCATATTGGGGCCTGGGGCTGGGGCTCGGGGGTAGAGCACTTGCCTGGCATGTGTGAGGCCCTGGGTTCGAGTCTCAGCAGCTTATATAAATCAATAAATTAAATAAAGGCCCATCGACAGCTCAAAAAGTATTAAATAAACATATAAACCCCTGAGCCCCATTCCCAGCCCTTTTTCTGTTTTATTTAGAGACAGGGTCTTGCTGAGTGGCTCAGGGCCTCGCTAAGTGGCTGAGGCTGGCCTCCACCTTGCGATCCTCCTGCCTCAGCCTCCCCGGCTGCAGGGACCCTATGAGGTCCCTCCACTACATGAACAGTGTAGGGGATGCCTGTTCCCTGGTGTCCCCCTGACCACACGTGCGGTGTGGCTGTGCAGCGTTATGTGTGACAAAGGCTCATGGGACTGTCCCCTGTGCACTCACCTGAGGCCCTCTGTTTCTGGTAGCTCTTCCTCCTCCCAGAAAGACGCGGGCCGAGCTCATGAAGGCGATTGACTTTGAATACTATGGGTACCTGGATGAGGACGACGGTGTCATCGTGCCCCTGGAGCAAGAGTATGAGAAGAAACGTGAGTGAGCACCATTGCTCTCCGGGTGGCCTCTGGGTCCGGTCTCTGCTTTCAGAATGTGCTGTATTTATTTCTTTTTGGCACCAGGGATTGAACCCAGGGACACTTAACCCCTGAGCCCCGTCCCCAGCCCCTTTTTCTATTTTATTTAGAGACAGGGTCTCGCTGAGCGGCTCCGGGCCTTGCTGAGTTGTTGAGGCTGGCCTCCAATTTGCGATCCTCCTGCCTCAGCCTCCCCAGCTGCTGGGATGCCAGGCGTGGGCCACTGTCCTGACTGAAAGTGGGGTTTCCAATAGAGTCTTATGCCCGAAAGGAATTGTCTCCAAAAGGAGACTTAGCCACATCCTATTTTAAAAGTCATCTTGAAGCAAGGGCCAGGGTGTAGCCCAGTGGGAGAGCCCTGATCGAGTCCCGAATAACACGCTTCCTTACAGTGACCCGGAGTCAGACGTGGGATCAGAATGTCAGGCAGTTGTCAATAAGGGACAACAGTGTGGGTGAGCATGTGGGGAGATGGGCACTCACTCATGGCCACTCTGGAGAGCAGGATGGAGATGCCTCAGAAAGTGTGAAATGGGGCCACCATGGGACCCGGCTGTCCCACTCCTCGGTTTAAATCCAAAGGGCTTAAAATCAGCACACGACAGGGACACAGCCACATCAATATTTATAGCAGCTCAATTCACAATAGCTAAGCTATGGATCCAGCCAAGGTGTCCTTCAGCAGATGGACGGAAAAAGACACTGTGGTGTTTATGCACAGTGGAATATTACTCAGCCATCAAGAAGGATGAAGTGATGGCATTTGCTGGTCAATGGATGGAGCTGGAGACGATCATGCTGAGTGGAATCAGCCAGTCCCCAGAAACCAAAGGCTGAGTGTCCTCTCTGATATGGGGACGCTGACCCACAATGGGGGTGGGGATGGCAGTTCACTGGATGAGACGCAGGGGAGTGGAGGGCAGGGAGGGGAGGGGACTGGGAGAGACAGGGGAATGGATGGACGTCCCTTTCCCACGTTCACAGAGGAACCCACGACCAGGGCCACCCCACGGCAGGTCCAGCCACAGGAGGGGGACGTCACGCCCCGTGTGGGTGGGACATGGCAGGATGCTCAGTGCTGTCATGGGGAGCCAAGGAGAAGACATTTTTAAAAAACTATAAATAAATAAATAGTCAGACGGTGCTGGGCCGGTGCGGTCCCCTCCCTCCAGGGCAGAATGAGGGGACCCTTTCCCGAGGGGCATCTTGGTCTTTTCCTGTGGCTGGTGGGAGCTGAGGATGACCAGCGCCCGCTGCTCCTGTCTGCAGTCAGAGCTGAGCTGGTGGAGAAATGGAAGGCCGAGAGAGACGCCCGACTGGCCAGAGGGGAGAAGGAGGAGGAGGAGGAGGAGGAGGAGGAGGAGGTCAACATCTACGCCGTCACAGAGGAGGAGGTAGGGCCCGGGTGCCCTGGGTGCTCACTGACCTCTGCTCTCAGAGGCCGGAGAAGCTGTGTCCAGAAACCAGGGGTCAAGGCCAGCTGCCTCACCTGCAGGGTGTCGGTCACCTGAGCATCACAGAGGGATTCCAGCAGCATGGCCGTGGGGACTCCAGGGATGACCTGCTTCCCCCTTAAAGATGGGCCTTTCAGCTGGGGACGGTGGAGCTTGGATGTCATCCTAGGGGCTCTGGAGGCTGAGGCAGGAGGATCGCAAGGTGGAGGCTGGCCTCAGCCCTAAGCAACTCCGTGAGACCCTGACTCTAAATAAAACATAAAAAGGGCTGGGGCTCAGGGGTAGAGCACGTGCCTGGCCCATGTGAGGCCCTGGGTTCGATCCTCAGCACCCCATAAAATAAATAAAATAAATCTCTTGTGTCTACAAGTAAAAAAAGAATGAAAAAGTTTTCTCTTTCACTTTTGAGACAGGATCTCACTAAGTTGCTGAGGCTGGCCTCCACCTTGAGATCCTCCAGCCTTAGCCTCCCCAGTTCCTGGGATTACAGGCGTGTGCTCCCTCCCTACAGCCCATGTTTGAGTCACACTCATTACTAATGCAGTTCCCCACTCGGAGGCTGGGTGGCCACCCTTCCGAGTCTCCGTTATTTCCTTAGTTATTTGTGACCGACTCCTAGGCAGCCTCTGAGTTGATCTTTTTTTCTTTGTAAGGTTCATTTTTGAATTAAAAAAAAAAATTGGGCTGGGTTGGTGGCTCAGTGGTAGAGCGCTTGCCTAGCACGTGCAAGGCCCTGGGTTCAGTCCTCTGCACCACCGAAAAATAAATAAAATAAAGGTATTGTGGAGGCTGAGGCAGGAGGATCACAAGTTGGAGGCCAGCCTCAGCAACATCATAATCTCTAAGCTACTTAGTGAGACCCCGTCCAAGTTAAAAAGTAAAAAGGAGGGGGACAGGGCTCAGGGGTCAAGCGCCCCTGGGTCCCGACCCCAGCGTGTGTCTAGTGTGTCTGGCGTAAGCATCCGGGCTCCCTCGTTGGTTGGCCCACAGCTGTGTGTCGCGGTGCGTTTTATTGAGATGCTAACCTCCCCATGGCGGGTCAGCTGACCGTCTTGTGCTTGCTGTCTCTAGTCGGATGAGGAAGGCAGCCAGGAGCGGACAGGCGAGGACGGGCAGCAGAAGTTCATCGCACACGTCCCAGTACCATCCCAACAGGAGGTAGGATGGAGCTTTGGGCGGCACGGAGTGGGTGCTGCTGGGGTCCCTGGGTCACCAGAGCAGGCTCCGCAGAGTACCCCAGGGGGGTCTGTGGGGCCCTTCCTCTCCAGGGCGCTCGCCATCTTGCTCATGGAAGGGCCTGGAACCCAGAGATCCTGCTGCAGCCTTAGCCTCAAACACATTCTTTTAGTCAAATGTTTCCAAAGGGAGGGAGAAGCCCCCCTTGAGTCCCCCCTCTTCTGTGGACGTCTCCCACAGGGACCCCCTCCTCGCTGGGTTCTGCCTCTGCGAGGCCTTGCTCCCTAGATAAAGAGTCAGGCCAGTTGGCAGCACCCACCTGTCATCCCAGCGCCTCTGGAGGCTGAGGCAGGAGGATCGCAAATTGGAGGCCAGCCTCAACAACTTAGGTGCTAAGCAACTCTGTGAGACCCTGTCTCTAAAAAAAATGCAAAATAGGGCTGGGGGCGAGGCTCAGGGGTCGAGGGCCCCTGGGTTCCATTCCTGGTCCCCCCTCACCCCAAATATAAAGAGTCAGCCCTCTACTCTGGACATCCACAGATCGAAGAGGCGCTCGTGCGCAGGAAGAAGATGGAGTTGCTGCAGAAGTACGCCAGCGAGACCCTGCAGGCCCAGAGTGAGGAGGCCCGAAGGCTCCTGGGATATTAGGCCAGGCTGGTGCCCTCCCAGGAGTCTGGAAGGTGGGCTCGATGTCTGGCGCCCCTGCAGCCACCCTGCGTGCCAACAGGTGGTGCTTCGAGGAGGCCCTGCTCCCTTCTCACCCTTCATCTCTTTCCTGGTCTCCTGGGCTAATCCCCGGGGAGGGCTTTGCCAGCTGCTCCAAAGTGTGTAAAAGGAGCCAGCACGGTGGCCCACGCCGTGATCCCAGCAGCTCGGGAGGCTGAGGCAGGAGGATCGAAAGTTGGAGGCCAGCCTCAGCCACGTAACAAGATCCTATCTTTCCATAGAAACTAAGCAGCAGCACGGGGGTGGCTCAGTGGTGGAACGTCACTGGTTCATTCCCTGGAACCACACACAACAAAAAAAAAGTGTTGATTTTTTTTCTAGAAAATTGAGATGCTGGGTTGACCCTGAACCCTCCCCCATGGGCCGCCAGCCAGAGTGGCCCTGTCCCTCTGGGCCCTGCGCTGGCTCTGACTACCCCAGCCTGCTTCCCGTCTCCCGCCCAGGGACCAAGACCACTGAACTGGTCCCTTCTGTTTTCTAACCTGTTCTGCACACAACTATTTTTATTAAAGATTTTTATAAGAAAGAGGAAGCTCTGTGCCTGGCGTTTGTTCCCTGAGGTGACAACTAAGTGACAGGAATGAGAGTCCACAAGAAAGAACCTGCGAGGCCAGAGTTGCTGAGGGACTCTGCGGCCTGCAGGGGGCGCTCTGGGGCTGCAGGGAACTGAGCAGCCCTAGAGCTGTGAACAGGGAAGCGGGAGGTGAGGGCTGGAGCCTTGGCAGCCCTGAGAGACTCTGGGTCCAGCAGCAGCCCAGGCTTGGCTGGAGCTGGGGGCTGAGGCGTGAGCATGCTGAGTCCCTCTGGGCCTCGGCTGTAAGTCTAGGAGTGCTCCCGCTGTCTCAAAGTTTGTCTTGGCGATCCTGTGGTCTGGACAGAGGTTTCAGATGGCCTGAGAACCAACTGACCTATCTCTGAGCCCCTGGGATAGTGGACTGGGCCCAGGGCCTGGGTGAGCCTGGGCCCAGGAAGGAGTTTGTCTCCCAAGGGGGACAGCTGGGCCACAGTGCTCCTTCCTGCATTTAGGGGGAAGACAGCAGGGAATTCAAACACTTGGGAAGAGGGTGCACCTGGAGCAAGCCCATCCTGAAAGCCAAGTGTTCTAGGCTTTTGGTAGACTAAGCCCCTCGTCTCCTCCTCGGGTCCTTATCAGGCTGCCTGGGGTGCAGGTGCAACAGGCCTCTACAATGAGACATGTGACGCCCTTGGTCACCCTGGGAGCAGAGGAAGGTCCCCAAAGGGCTACTATCCAAGCCTCAGGACATTGGGCAGCTGACTGGGTAGGTGTGACCACCGTTGCGGATGTGGTCGTCTTGGCCCAACTCCTTGCTCAGGGGACAGAACCAGTCTGGGCAGCTTTTTGTTTGGTTAAGAAGATCCTGTTGGTGTTCTATGTTAGTTTTGGCCCGACCTGCGGTTGCAAAAATAGGTAATTTTTCCAGAGACACATTTCCATCTTTTTTTCCTCCTCTTCCCTCACCCCTCCCAATTTTCCTGTGAGTCTAAAACAGTCTCCCTCCCATGGCTTTAAGAGTAACCAGGTGCGGTGGCGCACACCTGCGATCCCAGCAGCTCGGGAGGCTGAGGCAGGAGGATCGCAAGTTGGAGGCCAGCCTCAGCCACTTAGCAAGGCCCTCAGCAACTCAGTGACACTGGGGTCTTCCGTCTGGACTTATTGGCTGATTCCCAGGAAGGGGACTTCAATGTGTCAGAACAAACAACCCTCGGCTTGGCCTTTGCTGCTCTGCACCCTGCAGGAAGGCTGCTGGGGGGCTGGGGTCCTGGGCTGGTGGCGGTGTCCTTGAACTGGGTCCCTGTCCTTTGCAGCTGGGAAGCCCTTGAGGGGGCTTCTCACAGATGCTCGGGTCACATTTCTCTGGGATCCCAGGTCTCCAGGCCAGCCCTGCCCTTCTGCGCCGCCGCCTGTCACTAGGACAGCGGGTCTGGCTGTCCCCCGCCCCGGGGACCCACTGCGCACAAGGCCCTTGGGATCCAGGGCTGGCCAGACCCGGGGCTGGGAGGCCAGTGGGTAGAGCAGGCTGGCGGAGGCCCGGGGGAGCGAAGCAGAGGACCTGGGGTCGGGACTGGCGGACAGGGCGTGGCGGGTGCAGGGGAAGAGGTCCCCCCGGGCGGCCCTGGGCTCCCCCTGGGGCTGGGGCGAGGCCGCGAGCAGGATGTGGGCGGGGCCTTCCTGGTGGGCGGGACCCAACGTGGCTACGGGGAGGAGCGGGCGGACTTCCGGGACGCTGTTCCAAGGGCGGGG